CTAGAGTAATGCTCCATGCTAAGTTCATCCAAAGTCAAGGAGGCACAAGGCAGATTCCAAATATGACGTCATGGAGATCACAATGAACGAAGCGGCGGATTCATCTCATGGAATATTCATAATGACTTAGAGATACGAGTTCGCCAACAACAATAATAATTAAAACCCAAAGAATGATTAGGTTGAGAAAAGAAGACAAAAATCACTCCAATCTTCTACATAAGAAGTGACTCCGCTTGGAGTGTTAATGGTTGAGATGGTAAAAGTCATGGAATAAACAAATTCATAAAGCCCTTGTTAATGAGAGTAGAAATCCACTATAATGATTTGAATAAATATTATGCTCACCACATAAATCACAAGCACAACACAAAGGAGTTTCAACACCTTCAAAACCTTAAAGAGGAGCTAATTCAATTAGGAAAATTAAATAAATTAGTAGTCCTTAGCACGAACACCTATAAGCAAGGCAAGACACAAGTTGAAGATGCAAGAAACAAGCCCATTCCAGTGAGAGTAGCACACATCATCGACATGGTACTCGCTATCTTTACGGGATACAAAACAGAGGCTTCACAACAATATATTCTAAAACGACTAAAGATAAGAGAACAATTCAACCACTCTAGCACAGTTTCCGCTCCAGTCCACCCCCACATCGTTATAGACATAGATGTACCACTAGTAGAAATTCATTCATTGAGGCCATTGTGGTCACTATGTTGATCTCAATCCATCAGATTGAAAGCATCCTGATATACACTTGAAGCTCTTTCAACATCCTTCTTCGAAAAAAATGAACTTGATTATTGTTCAACCAACGTCCACTCCAGGCCTTCTATACGAATTCTATATATAAATAAATGAGACTTGTTGCATATGTGTGGTAGTGTGTTAGGGCGTTTTTCTGCAAAGAACCATGCCTATTTATATGCACACACATAGGTACCGCTATAGGGGGAGCAAGTAATGATTTCTTACCTATTTGCTTGCAGGTGTTATTAGTTCCCCCACTTTTAAGACATGACTCATGATACATTATTTGCATGTGAGCTTTCCCGCTGACACATGTTTTCATGCATGATTGAGTCTTTTTTTATGTACTTTTTAGAGTTTAGGAGAGTCTTGTAGCAAAAATAAGATACGGGCACGGGTTCCGAGGTGTCTGGCGTGGGAACCACGTGGAGGGGATCAAATTCAGATGCTCGTGCCCCGTATCTTAATTCTGCATTTTATATTGATGTATATAAATAGAACCGGATATGTATATGTGAAGTCCGACCACATTTTTCTTTTCTGGGATATGTTGTCGACCTACCAACACCGGTCTGTTTTAGTATTTTGATTTGACTTGCTTTGTTTTTTGTGTCATATTGCATGTCTGCACCTGTATGTGTTTTCCTTATTTCTTTTTATGATTTATCTGAGATTTCATGATATAATCTAAGCTCATTAAGGACCCTAAAATTGTAATTTTCTACAAAATCCTAAATAAATATTCAAGATAATTAAAATATAGGATTAAAATATTCAGGATTTAAAAATTGTAACATTTATTTTCCTACATATATTAATAGAGCCTCAACAATAATTAATGAGAGCTCTAGATAACTGCATTCATATTTACATGTCCCGAGGAGGAGCCCCCATGTTTCTTCAACCTGACTGGCCCAACATACCTCTTTATAGGTGGTTGTGTAGTGCGTCTAGAGTGTTAGAAGGCTCCCAGACTCAGACGGGGTGTAAGTTCTTTTGTTTGGAGCATTTTCAGCTCTGTAGTTGAACCTCCACTTTATTTTCTTTCCTGAGGCATTCTTGCCACTTCGACATGTATAAGTCCCACCTTTTATAGCTCCAGCTTTTAGTCATGAGCTAGAGTTTTCTTCCTTTGACCTTATGGCTACCGAGGTTCCTGTGGACTACGCAATTCACAGATTACTGACCCAGAACCTCAGGACGTGTTGGGTCGACTACCTTCACGACCAAGTAGACTTTGGGTCCTAGTAGCTGTGGTACGCAATTCACAGATTACTAACCGAGAACCTCAGGACGTGTAGGGTCAACTACCTTCACGACCACGTAGACTTTGGGTCATAGTAGCTGTGGATGACGGGTCTGTGGTATCCATACCCAGTTAACTCTACCTTATAGGATTACTCTACCTTCCGTTTGTTGAGCACCATTGAGCACTGTCGTTGCTTTGACCTCGTTGATATCATTTTGAAGACTCGATGCCGATGAGTTGCCGCCCATTTAGGATACGACGCTTTGTCATCCACGTTTGTTGAGCCCCATTGAGCCCTGTCGCTGCTTTGACCTCGTTGATATCATTTTGAAGATTCGATGCCGATGAGCTGCCGCCCATTTAGGATACGACGCTTTGTCATCCGCCCTTATGGTCCGACGTGCTTTGACGTGTTGGGATATCTCCATCAAGATGATTTATGTTATTTTGTGGGCCTCGTGTGCCGATGAGCCGCTACCAATTCAGGATGTGAGAGACTCACTCTCTGTCGGATGACTTAGCGTGAGCTTTAAAACAGCGAGACTGTTTCCACACGGCATAACTTTCATTTGAGTACCTATTGCCCCAAGTTCACGATAAGGATGACTTAGCGTGAGCTTTGAAGCAACGAGACTGTTTCCACACGGCATAACTTTCATTTAAGTACCTATTGCCCTAAGTTCACGATAATCAAAGCGAAACTTCTTTTATCGAGAGTATTCTTGGGTACCTCCCAATATGTAATTAACCAAGTGAGACACATCCCATTGAGAGTGCTTTTGACCCCAGAACAGACACTTACACCTGACTCTCTGGTTATGGGTAGTCTATGTAGATATTCCTTCGCGAATATCGATTTAAGGTGCTTTCGCCCAATCTTGCTTGGGCGAACACTCTTAACTTATCATTGCGAGGTTTGCCGCACTTAGACACTCTACTTTTTGTGTTTTCTCTTGTTCGTCGCTTTGTCTTATGTTCTTTTTTATTTGGTTACTCTCTTCTTCAAATCACTGATCTGATTCAGGAGGGAGATTTATTCGAATAAGGGAAGTATACGACGATCGATAGACTGACGACTCATTCCAAAATAAAATAGAGAAAAATAAACGAAAACAGATATGAAAATTTTGAGCGATATAAAATTAAAAATAAATTTAAATATTAAATACGCAAATACATCAAAATTTAGTGTTATGCACATAAATATCCCTTATTTTCATATACAAGTATTTTATCTAAAAATTAATCTCCGAGCATATTTCTAAAAAATGATGAATTTATTTGATATAAAAATATTATTATAATGGATAGGATAAAAGATATATATATATTTTAATTATTTTATTGTAAATGTAAAATTAACCAATCAATTTAATTAATTAGATTGACTTACACAAAAATAAATCACATTAATGGAACAAACCCATCTTCCCTCTACTCCCTCCCGAAACCCTCGCCTACAGTACTCCCCCTCTGAGCCCAAAAGCGCTCGCTCGTCCCTCCTTCCGATTTCGCACAAAGCCATCGTCTTCGTGATTGAACCCTAGAGTTTCAGTCGCGCTAGAGCTAACCGGGAAAGCAGCGACGGGATCGCGATGTACAGAGACCCGAAACTCCCAACTTCCTCCTACTTCTCCCTCGCTCCTACGCGAAACCACGGAAGAGGGTAACTTGACATCTTTCTTTTCGCGCGAAGAACCCTCACCGGATTTACTAGATCATCCGATTCGCAGGATTCAGTAAATCCGGGATTTACGGCCGAAATCCGGATTTATCAAATCCGCGACTTTGTTTTGACCAAACTGACCGCCCGGCGCCCTTCATTTTTGCTGTTTTCGGTGCCAAAGGAAATCAACCATGGCGTGAATCCGTCGCCAGTGAAATGGTTAGCGGCACAAGCCATCGGCCGCCGGAGAATGGGGATAGGGTATCTGATAACCTTCCCAAGGCAGTTGCCGGAGGCAGAACCTCGTGGGGTGCGCCGGCATTCTCTGGTGGTCAGTCGGCTTCGACGAGCGGTAGCGCCGGCTCACCATCGAGTCGGAGCGAGCAGGCTGCAACGGGTACCCCAGCGAGCGAGAGCACCTTCGTCCGGCGGATAAAGCACCTTGAAGTCAATGGAGACGAGGCCGGATCCTCGCAAGGAGCAGCAAGGTTAAGAACATTTTCCTGTATGGTTTTATTGGTTAACTGTTTCAAATTCCGACGTCCGCATTCCATGCATAAGCTGCGCAGGAAGTTATTACGATAAACTATTTTCAGTAATCCCACGGGATGTGCACTGTTGGCGAAGTTTTACAATTATTTCGCTCGGTTGTTTATGTGCCGCTAGTTGCGTCGATGGACGAGCTTGCTAGCTCTGCACACTCTCTTTTGAGCGGGTTCTGAAACTGATTGATAGAGATAAGAATGTCATGCAATTATCTTCTGATGGACTGTAACTCAATTTCTTACACACTCAAATCCCACAACCTAGGACATTGAAAGGGATATGGTTTAAAATATGGACCTTGCAGTGATATCTCCCTTTGGAAAGAAATCCAGTTCATCCACGCAAATGAGGGGAAACACAAATTTTCACTTCATGATTGTGAAGTATTAGGGATTGTTTAAATAAATTCATTTATGCACTAATGGTCAGGCTGGAGTTTACATATCGAGAGATCATATATTTTGACATGCATTATGATTTGCATGCCTTTGTTTCTGAGTGCATCTAGATTTTCTTTCATTTCGCTATTAGTTTAAAAATCACAAATTGGTAGTAAAGTCACCGAAGCAGCCATGTTCAAGTGTAAATTCTTCATTAAGAAGTTATGTTGCACTCACTCTTGTAAGGACAAGTGAGGTTGTTACCCCCTTGACCATCTTAGAGTGATAGTTAGCAAAGAAAATAGTAGTATTTATTTATTTTTTTTGCTATGTTTTTCGAGTATATGATGACAAATTTTTGTAATATTTTGGTTAGCATGTAATATTTTTAACTCAATGTGATGTCTGTGTAATGATCAGCAAGCTTGTTGCTTTGTTTTCTCAAAAATATTTAAAAGGATTCCAAGATTGCCCAAAATAATTTATTGCTTACTCTCTTTCCCCGATACCATCCTCAGGGTCTTAGATTTTACAACTTTTGAGAGAGAGATCTATTGTTTTGAAAGTTTGGATTGACTTCCCACGTCATGGTGCTTGGTATTTACTTGTAGGAAGTCAAAGTAGCTTTTGCTTATCTTAATTAACTTCCTTGAATGAGTGCTCATTGCTGGTGATTTCTTAAAGGTGTTACTGGGGACTGCTGAAGCTGTTGGTAGTCACTGAGTTGGCGTTGGGGGTGGATAGTTTTGGATTGAAATGATGCACGAAACTTGATTGCTTTCTTTCTTGGTCCAACAGCGGTTTGAACAACTCATAAGGATTTCAATTAGGAAACAAATTCCAAAACAAGGAATAGAAAAACTTCTTTATTTGAATTTTCCTAATTTCAGACAGTTTGAAAACAAGGCCTTTCTATTGGACATGAGGTCCTGTTGAATCATGACTCCTTTTAGGTTTGTTCACTCTTACAAATAGTATGAGTTGAGGGGAGAGCTTCACTTAGAAGCCGCTAGGACTTGTTTAGTATTTTTTTACTAGCAAACTCGTGAGCCTCATTTCTTATGGAGATGGTTTTCATATTTAGATTACAGCACCCCTGCATTGGACCTTATTATTTGATCTTAAGATTTTTTATGACCTGAACCTCCTTTGTATCCTTTTCTTCCATTACAGTGAAAACTTGAATAACTTTAATTTCATTGCTTTGACGAGAGAGTAAATCGTCATGTAGGGAGATAGGCCAATTGAAATGCATGTTTACTAATATCAAAGTATTTGAAATGGCCATTTGATCAACTTAATTTTTGATCATCTCCTTTTGACATGTATCTCCCGAAATTCAATAAAAGTGCTCTTTTTAGAATGTGCTTTTTATACGATTCTTGAAATGACGAGCTTTGGATTTTTCTTTGTACCATCTAAGTTTCGACCTCACCTATTGATGAGTTTTTGAATATTTGTAGGAATGTTACTTTTTGCTCTTTGCTTTCTCCATTTTTTTAATATATCTAGAAAGAAATCTAGTTACAACAAATGTTATAGTTGAATATACAGGCACACCTTGAAAGGAGATATTGTCATTGATTTGTGCACGACTGAGTTGAAGGTAAATTGGATGGAAGGGTTGTGGCTGTCCCATGTCTTCCATTGTTGAGAATCGAAGCCTCACAACATTCAAAACCTTGTATTTTTAAACCACTCTAGTTTGATTTTAAATCTGATAGTGAAGGATGATGCTTTTATTCATTTTCAGCTGGAACATCCATAAGGCAAATTGAATTTTTGAGGTGATACAAAAGAATCACCTAAATATCTAAAGCAAATTCTAGCACAAATAATTAAATGATGACTCAATCATAAAACAAATTACATAAACTAGCCATAATGATTTTTAAAAAGCACCGACGAACTCTGCTGTCCTGGTATAAGACAATGGAGGTGGGCATTTTGAAAACGTTGCCTCATTGTATGGAGAAAACGTTGATATAGCTCACCTGAAAATGCCATTGCCTTTTTACGTTAAATGCGGGCAGCGGGCCGTACCCCCGCGACCCGCATTTCATAAAAAAATTTGACGATGTTGCCCTACTTTTTCACGTTTCGTTTGCCCTAACTCCCTCTTCGCTCTCTCTCTCTCTCGCGTGCTTCTCTCTTGTCCCTCCACCACCCTCCCGCGAACCTCCCTTTGGCGAGCTTCTTTCCGGCAAACCTCCCTCCGACAGACTTCCCATTGGAGAACCTAGGTCAGGTGAGTACTTCTCCTTTCTAGCTTCTTCTTCTTTTTCTTTGCATACATAATAATAAAAAAAAATAGAAGATGAAAATTTACACTCGTACCACTCATTTTATATGTATTCGCACCGCACCAGAAACAACAAAAAAAGAAGGGAAGATTTACATACATACCATTTAATTTCTATAAATTTGCATGCAAGATAGGGAGATTTACGCATATACCACTCAATTTCTGTGCAAAAATTTACATATATACCACTCAATTTATGTACAAAAATTTATACATGTAACATGTTTAATATTATACCACTCAATTTTACATATATACCACTCAATTTCTGTGCAAAAATTTACATATATACCACTCAATTTATGTACAAAAATTTATACATGTAACATGTTTAATATAAGTTATAACAACTTTTTGGGTCAATTTAGGGTCAAATATAGGTCAATTTTTGGTTGTTGGGAGTTGATTTTAGTCAATTTAGGGTTAAATATAGGTCAATTTTTGGTACTGTTATGAAACGATTTTTTTGGTTCTAAACTATTAAATATATACTCATGACAGTTTTGTTGCAAGCAGCACAACTGTACATGGGCATAATGATCATTTATCTGGAAACATCTGCAAATCAGCTGTTTTCCAAATGCACAAACTAAACAACCAGCCAACTTATTTGTATCAGCTGCTGATTAACGGCTTATCAAAATAAGTTGGATAAGCTGCAACTGCCCCAAACATACCCTTGATTAATTTATTGATGGTTGGTTATTTACAAATTGTTTTTAATTTTTTGAGTTTTTTTCACTAAGTTTACACCTCAATCCGTCTAGAGTCTTATACCTCATCTCGCTAAAGAAAAATATTCAAATTTTTATTTTACTTTTGTAAACCTTCATTATTGCTGTTATTTTTGCTATTTAAATTGTTTTTGTGGCTGTTTTTTGTGTCTGGATTGTTGTTGTGGTTGCTTTTACTGTACAATCTGTATAGGAAGTTGGAGTTGCAATTGGGTTGTTGGTATTGCAAGCAATACTCTGGCTACTACAGATTCTTTGATTGGCATTTTTCTTTATGTTACTGCAGCCAATTCTGTTGTCTGCTTGCCTTCAGTGGCTTGCAGTGAGCAGTCAAGAGGATTATTTACACTGCCTATTTCCGGCACTTCTTGTGTAATGGCCATCGTAGTATGCTTTGCTTTTCTCTCATCCTAGGGTTTTAAAGGCTTTTGTTGGTCTTAGCTTAGAGAAGGTTTTTGATTATTTTTCTTTCTTTTTCCCTTTGCTGTTGTTTTTTTTTTTTGCTTCGTCTTATTTACCTCTCTGCTGATTATTTCTCTTATTATTTTTTTTAAGTGGAGCTGATTGTCTTGTTTTTTTTCTTATCTGAGTTCCTTAGGGAGATCTATATGCATTTCTCGATAGATGACATCTCCAACAAAATATCTGGAGCAATTACTTCTGGAATTCCATTGCATACTCAATAGTTTGCTCCGTTTCTTGTCTCAGTTGTCAAATTTCATTATGTACTTCACTCTTGGTAAGCCATATTTTCGGGACTGCGCATTCCACAACTCGAAGCATGTTTGAAAAGCTTTAGTTTAGTGAAGGTGCTCTTTTGTGCAAAATGAAATGTTCATCTCTAGTTGTTCGATTCAACCATCAAACTTCTCGACATCGATGATTTCTTCGTATGTAGGTGTCTTCAATTTCATATCAATCTTCATTGTAAGTTGCTTATTTTGTGTTTTCATAATACACTTCTCTTTGTCCTACGAAGCTTCTTCAGCATCATCCTTGCCTTACGAGGTGATGGTATCCTTGCCGTAATTTCTATCGTAGGAAGATGGTTGTGCATTTTGGATTGCGGTTTTCAGATACTAAAGAGTTATCAGTTCCTAAAGAGTAGGAAATGTATCAAACTTTCTCGCCATTCCTATTTCCAGCTTAAGTTTGGTATTAGGAATAATTAATCCTTTGCCATTTGTACTGTATTTCTACTCTCTGAATGTTGAGATGCCTATTGGTTTTCTGTTAAATTCTTTTTTGAGGTATAGATTGGAGGCTGTGTTTTAAAGAAGTCGTAAATCCATACAAGGATGACTTTAAAAATTGATAGAGTTCCTTTTGAACAGAATGGAGCCACGTAGATTATCAGGCACAATATATCAATGGCTTTTCGAATGACAAAATTTATGTTTCCTTTTATGGTAAACCTGAAACTAGTTTTTTATTTAGATTCTTGTAATATGTACTGTTTTTCAATTAATAGGATATCTATCTCATGTTGTTTAATGCTACTTCTTCTGCTCAAGTTTTGGTTTGTAACGAAACTTACACTATTAACAGTGCTAAAAAGAAAAAGAGGGGAGCACGTGCTGTTGCAGGTGATAAAAGTGGGAGGGGACTTCGGCAGTTCAGCATGAAAGGTGAATTTCGTAGTCCATCTTTTAATATTTAAAGCCTCATTTGATCTTTTTTTGTGAAGCATCTGGTCAGCCGCCTATTTGTTGGTTTTCTTTTGTCAAAACTGGGTTCTAATATAGTACTATTAGTGATCAACATAAATGACTGACTGATAATACTGTATTTGCCTATGGAATGATGTGCTCCATTAATACTGTATTTGCCTATGGAATGATGTGCTCCATTATTTGTATATTTTCATGTTCTGTATAGTTTGCGAGAAAGTGGAAAGCAAGGGAAGGACGACTTACAATGAGGTCAGATGGCTCCTCTCATTCTAGTTTGTCAAATGCTATTTAAACTTCTCTTTTTTTGTGACTTTATTGTTCCTTGTCTGCGAACTTTTTGTGTGCAATCATCACATTCTTCACTATTTAAACTCAAATAAATAGAGTTTGATTTATAATCTACTCCAATTAGAAGTAATAGTTTTAACAGTGGTTTTTTTAAAAAAACTTCATGCAAACCCACAATGTACGTGTATATTATGCTTTCAATCTGGCTAGAATCACATTTGGTGCAAGTGCCCTCTTAAACTTGAATTTGACTCAAAATTTTGTTCTAGTCAGGCAATCTTGGTGGAGCCCTGTCAACATGCTCTACCCAAATTTATCTTCTAAAATATGCTAAATTTTTGTACCTCAGCTATTTTTATTAGATACTTTAGGAAGATATTTAATTTTCACCGGTCATTTAATATACCCCTCACTACATTGAGACGTGGTTATTCAAGACAAGGTTATTATTTCGACTAACGCTATTATTCACTTTGCATTTATATGTACTCGCACATATTGATCGCAGAAGGACATTAAAGGGGGAGTATTTCTTTTTTAAGAAGCTCTCACTGCATTTTTTTTAAGATTTCCGTTTATAAAGCAAAAGAGTGTCTAATAATTCAACGACATGAAGTCTATCAAAGCTAAAATGAGAAGCGCACAAAGGCGTCTAAAAATAAGCCAAACAATAGAATTTACAACAAAAGAACCAAATAAAAATAATCCTATAGTTTCTGCTGAATAGAGAAACATTTGCGGAGGACATCATGCTCTCATCAATACAGCCATGCTGAAAGCTAGATCAACTTCCTTCCCTGGGGAACCTTGAGGATAGCCATAGTAAATTGATTAAGAACATCTAAAGATGAACTCCAAACTATAATCAAATAATATCTATAGCTAATGAGTTGGCTTTAGATCTATTCCACCTGAAACGATATTGAGCAGTCACCTGTTTCTTGTTTGATTATCAAGAAATTATGTTTTTTAAATACCATCAATTCCATTAAGGGGATCATCAATATGAGCCTATGTATTGTTGTCAAGAAATGGACTGAATAGATTCCAGCTATGATAGTTTTGGCTGAAATCGAAGCTTTAGTATCTGTCTTATCCGTTTATCATCTAGATAAATCTTTCTCAAACCGATCATGATCTAAAGACGGATGACCATCATCCCATTTCCTATGATCATGAGTTTAAGGGCGTATTTCAAAAACATTAACTTCATTTTCAAGCGCTTAAGTTGGATATAAACTATCACTATCAAGTGAATCATTTCAGTGATAAGCTTCATTCAATTGGAGATTAAGTGATTTTGTTCTTGATAAAAAAAATTCAAGATGTTTACAATGTGACATCAGCACTTGTGTTCAGACTCAAACGAAATTCTTTTCCAGTTTTTGCATGCACGTTAAAAAAAGCTGTAATCAGTACATTGCCAGTGCTAGATTTAGGCCTAGTAGTTTAGCTCAATGTTCAAACCAATTTTTTTCTTTAACTGAGAGATGTATAAGCTTAGCTATGCCTTAAAATTTTGGCATCATTTGATTTTAAAGCTGATTTGGATTCATGACATACTTTGATGAAACCCACATACATTTAGCTTGAAACTCAAAATGTGTCTTTGATTTCTTTCACTCACTAAGATAAATACATGGACGGATAAGTATGTAAATAGTTTATTATATATCATATGGTTATCATGAAGAAGATTGTTTAAGGAGTTTTAGGAGAGTTTGAAAACCAACACGCACTAGTAAGGAAACTTGTGGGGTGCTAAGGTACAAGATGATATTAAGGAAACTAAAAGCCTTTTTAAAAATTGGCAAATCATTAATATTTGTAAGGCTTTTAGTCATTATAAGAAACCTACAAGTCTCACAAAAAGTTTGAGCGAAGAAAAAGCTATATAACTTAATGACTTGTACAACATTACCTTTTATTAAGTAGAAAATGAGATTTATGTAATAGCTAATTCTTGAGGTAAGAGATTGGAAGACTATAATATAATTAAATGCATTAGAAGCAAAGATAATATAATCTTAGTTAAAGGTGAACATATCAAGGAAAAGTAAAAATACCATTTTTAAGAAATCATTTAGAATCAATTTGAGATAGCTGCAACTTATTAAAAAGCTGTTGCGCTGCAGTTTGTCAAAAGGCTGATGCGGGAAAGCTGTGTGTCGATTTATTTTATGCAGTTGTGCAGCAGCCGCTTATGACAAAAAGTCCTTTCCACCCCAGTACTATTGTGCTGTTTATAATAGAATCTGTCATGGTTATATATTTCATGTATGAAAATATATATCCAGTTAGAATATTACATAATAAAACTGACACCTCACTAAACAATGAGTAAGAGATCAATTAAAATTTAAATTAAAATTATTAAAATAACAATTAATATTATCATAATGTTGAATTTAAAACGTAGACGATTAATTTCACGAGATAATCTCTGTTTTAACGAAACTCTCCATGCTTGATCACTATCAGAGGTGGAATCAACAAATTGACCTGCCCACATGAAGAAGTCATTGTTTTCTGATCTATTTCTTTGACACTTGTAAAATTGCCTCTCACAATTATGCTTCTGTCGTGGTGTAAGCAGCAAACTCTGCACTCTACAGTAGCAATGCAATACACTAGAAACACCGTTAGTAAAAAAAGAATAATAAAAATACACAAATAAAGTTTTATTTAAAAGAACATATTCCTAAAATGTCAATTTCAGTTTGGAGATTTAATATGATTCCATGTTGGGAACATACATCATAAGAATGACTTTTGTGTTATGACAATTAATGAAATAATAAAAAGCGCAAGCTATCATCTTTAAAATTTTATTGATCTTGACAAGTCATATGATTAAGTATCATGAAAATTTTTTTAGTGCACATTAATGATGAAATGTGTGTTAATGGCATGTTGAAATTGTTATGAATATGTATGAGGGTGTATTTACTCATTAAATATAGTTTTGAAGTAAGTGTCAAAAACTTGGTTTGAAATACTCTTTTGAACCTAACAATTCAGTGTGAGACCCCCCATGCTTTGCTTCACCACAAAGCGTGATAATTTTTCTCCATATTTCTCACATAAATTATTGCTCGTTTCATTCTCATCATAGATGCAAACTTTATGCCAGATATTGAGCCTCTTAATTGATTGCAACCTCGCATGAATGGCGATAGATGTGGGATGTGGATATTAGGATATGTGAAATGCAAATGGCCTCATGTGGACAACATAAGGCTAGCAATTTTTTTTTGTAAATGCAAATCTTGATTTAAAGCCTTGTTATGCTTTGTTCCCTTCTCATTATATTTGTTTATTTTCCTCTTTTTTTACTTTGGAGCCCCTTGTTTCTTTGAGTTGTATTTCAATTTTATGTTTCTGAACTCCTTTTGGGTTTGATTTTGTGTTCATTACTCAAGGCTTTTCTTTTTTGGATATTGGTTAGTAATAGTTTTCCTTAATCATATTTGATTTAAAATGCCTTATATTATTTTATAATTATGATCTGTATTAAGGTTGTTGAATGGTATAGTACTATTTAAAATTTCCTATAATGTATTATTGGCTTACATTTCAAAGCAAAAGAACCCCTTGCGCTTCATATTGTGCGTACAACTATGCCAAAGATATCCCTATTATGGTATAATTTTTTCAATAATCAACATAGGTTTTTTTTTTTTTTTTGGTATTAGTTATGTTAATGCTGGTAGATGATAAAATTTTAATTTATTAAATATTTGTTGAAAGTAGTGGAAAGTTAAGACCATTAAGAAAGTATTATGAAATTTTTGAGTGTGGAAAGAGTAAAACAAAGATTAAATATATTTTATACATGAAATTTCGTGGTGTATTATCATCAAACGGTATTATAAAAGGATAAGATGGTGATCAGGTGTGAATGGTTTAAATGCTTTGATTATATTGCACAAAATATTGATGGCTTATAATTTATAGAGTGATGGTTGGGTAGTTAAAATTGACGGTCTTAGAATTATCATGGAAAAATATTATATTATAGAGATTTAAAAATAAATTTTATAAAATTGTAGTTGGGTTAACTAGTGTTATATGAATTTGAATGCTGGGCACTAAATAGTCTTTGATAGCTTAGTTGAATGAAATAGAATCAAGAATGTTAAGATGAATATTTGGAACATCTTGGAAGGATAAAATAGTGGATGATTAAATTGTAGGAATGATTGGAGTGTCATATATTAAAAGATAAGGTAATTGAAAAAATGTTTTGGCGGTTTGAATATGCATAAGGAATGGTAGAAATTCTCCTGTTAGATGAGTGGTTAAAATTAGTTTGTAGGACTAGGAATGGGCCTAAAATATGAACTCAGATAGGATAAAAGTATCATGAATAAAAGCTGTTCAAGATAGGTTTATCATCTCAATTATCAACCAATAGGATGAATGGAAGATGATTCCTAGATAAGTTGAGATAAGGCTAACAATACTGTATGAACATTTATGTATTTTAAATTTAACTAAAAATAAAGTAGAAGAAACTTATTTGATTTCAAGCTGGCTCCAAATCAATTATTTTTGAGCAATAACCTAATTTTGAGCGGGCTAGTATATGATTTAGGTGATTGCCATTCTCCTGAGCTTGATTTAGATACTTAATAAGTTGCTGGTAACACAAGTCATGTAACCCAATACATTTTTGATTTTTCAAGTATAGCATAATAAATGCAGAATAAATGGCAATTATAGTTTGAGCCAACTAATTTGTTGCTGGCAATGGATTAGAGATCAAAGCTGTAGCAGACTCATCAATGTTTTTGTGTAAACTTCGTGAGAAATTATTGCTTTCATATAATTAGAACTCAATCAGCCATATTTCTCCATCAGCATACATTCAATCATAACTTTAGATTTCTAATTTGAGTTTTTGAAATTAAAATGATCGTAGAAGTGAAGGCATTCAGATTCAATGGTAATATGGAACCTCATACTTCATAGCAGTAGTTCTGGTGGGCAAGTGTTGTACTTTTGTTGCATGTTCGCAGTGTTTCTTATCAGATGTGTTGATGCTTTTTTTTCGAATTGTACCAGCTTTTGAATTTATATCAGACTATTCATTTTTTTATCTTTTGGTGATGAAATTTGCATGTTTGAAACCTCCTCCATCATTTTGATACATTCTAAGGATACTGCTAATTTTATTAGGTTAGCCTTTGTATGATATCTGTTAGGCGCATGTGGAACTAGTTGATTTATTCAGGCTTCATTAAGTTGTCTGGAAGCTTACTTTTGGAAAAGCTTTGCCTATTTAGATAAAAAACATAGGGGCATTTACATGTCTGCCACTCAATTCTTATGAATTTACATATCTAGCATATAATTTTTACTGTTTACATTTATACCACCTAAAACTTTCACATCACTTCAAAATTACCACCATTTTAACTTTTTAAAAGTGAGTACACCTTTTTCTTGCATAGGTAAGGTGGCATGCATGAAAAATTGAAGTTTAGATTTTTGACATGTAAATACATAAGAATTGAGTGGTACCTGCATGTCAAGTACCATTGAATTCCATGCATGATGATATATGTACATGCTCCGTTAACTTGTGAGGGAAGTTACCTTTGGAAAGGCATACCCTGCATGTTGCTTTACTTGTTTTTTCCCTTAAACGGGGGCACAATATCATGTCGATTATTATGACTTCTAAATGAACGTGTAATCTTGACATTACTGGCTGTGCTTTTCAGCGTCTATTTAAATTTTCTTCATTTAAGGAGAAATCACGCTTTCATTTCTGCTCTTAAACACTTATTTAGATGCGTAGAAACAAAGGGTTATAGAGGCAGCTCTATTATTACAGCAGGGATGCATACTTACGGTTGAATCATCTTGAACTGATGAAATTAGAACCACATTTTCTATTTTTGAATTATTTCTTCAATATTGTGATTTTTTAGGATCATATTATTGTCTATGAAGATGGTTGGTACAATTCGTGATTTTGGAATGAGTTTCACTGTTTCTGATTTAATATCAGGCTGACAAATAGTACATGAGTTTCTAAACTAGGGGATTGTGGTCGATCAGAATCCACTGACTGTTAGATTGCTTATCTATTGTTAGGAGGATCCACCATCTGCTCGTCGACCATACATTATTGTTTTGTGGATTTGTCCGCTATTTTCAGCTGGGACAGTAGCCAAATGACGTCCATCCTCGCACAAATGCCCTAAAACCCGTGTATTATCTTTCCCAAGCTTTTTTAAAAACCACATTCTTACTAGATCCACTTCTTAAACACCTTCTAGGAGCCATAGAATAGTGTGAGCTATTTTGCTTGTAGATTGTTTTCATATACATTTGTTAACCTGTGGACCTTGGGCTTTCCACGGTCAGGTGAAACATCAGCTTGGACTTTTTTGAACTCTGAAGGACGAGCAAACGAATAAAACAGATCAGAATAAAGGCGGAACCGCCTTCTTGGTTACTTTGCAGTGTGCAAAGCTTAGTTATAGTTTTCTTAGTTGGAGCCTTGTCTGGTCATATAGCTTAGTTTTTTGTATGAGATGCAATTGGGTTTGTGGGACTGATCAAACAGACCAATCATGACCTTGAATGGCCAATATGTCATCAAGTGTGAGCCAGATTGGGTTTTAGGAGCTTGTATCTCAGGAATTATGGTGTAGTTTTTTGTGAAATTGTTTCTCAAACTTCATCACAATAAGCTTTTACAGGACCTATTCACGGTTTTCAACAGATGCAGGTGTCGTTGAGGGTTTTTTCTTTTCTGTTGTGCTTTCTATATTCATTGTTTGGCTATAAGCTGCCCTGCATTGGCAGTAATTTTTTTTTCTAGCATGAATTTTTTAATTGAACAAATAAAAGTCAAAATGTTTAAGAAGGCAAATATATCCTTGACTTTATGTTCACTGCCTGGAATATAAAAATTTTCCTTCACAGGTTGCGAAAATGCTGCCCTGCATTGGCAGTGATTTTTTTTTTCTAGCATGAATTTTTTAATTGAACAAATAAAGGTCAAAATGTTTAAGAAGGCAAATATATCCTTGACTATATGTTGACTGCCTGGAATATAAAATTTTTCCTTCACAGGTTGCGGATGAGCTTGTAGCTGAATTTGCAGATCCTAATAATAATCTTGCTTCTCCAGATCAGGTTGTATGCTGTGCTAGATTAAAGAGGAAGGCAACTGATAATTTCTGCCTTTCATTTATGAATTTTGTATAATTGTTTCTTATGAATTGTGGACAGCAACAATATGATGAGAAGAACATAAGAAGAAGGGTTTATGATGCCCTAAATGTTCTCATGGCAATGGATATTATCTCAAAAGACAAGAAGGAAATTCAGTGGAAGGGTTTGCCTAGGACAAGTCTAAACGATATTGAAGAACTAAAGGTTCAAAGCTTCGTATTTTATAGAATATATGACTAAATTTCTTTTCTGATAATTCTTCTTTTGTAATTTATTTTGAAAGGTGGCAAATGCTTAAATTGAGTTGTTTTTTCTTGTTTTTTCTGCAGTTTTGCTAGAAGCTGATTAAAACAATTTTGTAATGATTACAGGCAGAACGTGCTTCTCTCAAGCGTAGAATTGAGAAGAAGACTGTCTATTTGCAAGAATTGGAAGACCAAGTAAGATTAACTGCTACCATATGAATCTTTTGATGAATGGGTTGATGCTTGCAAATGTCTCTTTGTAATGTATGGATAAGTAATTATTAAATGTTTACAAGCATAATAATTACCAAATGTAGTCAATTTTTTAGCGTCATTTTTTTATTTCAGCATTTTGTAGAGATTTGCAACCTTTTTTCCCGACTAATTTGACTTGAATGCTTCACTTTTATTAATGGAAATTAGTTTTCTTTATGTACATTTTACAGGATTCTAGATCTCACTAGCTGGTTAAAAAACATGTTTGTTATAACGTTCTTATTATTGCAATTGCTTTATTCATTTGACTTATGAGCCATGCTCTTATGGATTTACATTATTTTTTTAAATAAAATAAGATTTATTATTAATTAATAAAAAGAGTACAACAAGAAGCAGTAACAAAACATTATTAGATGAGAATAACTAAAAATATAATATATTGACAAAATCAAAAGAGTAGAACTCTTAGGGGTCAAATTAAAATCATCTTACTTGGAGTCTTGTGTACTTCAGAAAGCGGCATAATTTTTCTTACTATTTTTTTTTCAAAGCATTTATAAATTGAAGCTTCTTGCCCACAATTTTGTCTGTATGATAAATGCTAATAGTAAATATAAAATAAAAAAAGAGTCAGGATCTCCTATATCTCTGGCATCAAAAGACAAAACCCTAGGTGGGGCAAGTTCATTAATCATGTGAGTAGTCGTTGTATTGTGCTAGCAACCTGAGAAGGTTTTGATTTCAAGCCAAGTTCTAAAGTAGATTTCAAGTTTTGACTACGAATCGGATGTAGAAGAAATTGCTATCATTGCATTAGAAGACAAGATTTTAATAGATGGAAGACCCCATTGTCCCAATTACTAGGTTTTCACAGATTTAGATGCGCCCTAAAATATTATGATAAGTTGTGGCCAAGTATTTCGCAAGAAGAAAAATAAGGTGAAATGCCCTCAAAGCACTCTTCTATCAATATTCATTAGATATGGACTTGGTTAAAATTTCTTTATTAAAATAGTAAGAAACATCTAATTCGATTAAAGCCCTAACTTTTGATGGCCTTGAAAGCCTTTTAGCTGTAGAATCCACCTAAAGAGATTTGCCAAACTTGTATCAAAATAGTAGAAAATGCATTGATTTAAAAATAAGTTTGAATATGTGACAAAACCACCAATATTGGTATGATCGGAAGGTTCCACCAATTTAAGCATATGCATTCGGAACCCATCTACATTATATATTTTTTAAGAGAAAAGTCTCGAGCAATCAAATTTGTGGGATTGTTTAACTAGAGCATAAGTATCAGTAAATCCTTAGTATAATCCCCTATCAAATGTCGGCCATCCATGAATTTATGAATAATCTCCTTATTAGGCTGGCATTAGGAAAACTTGATAAGTAGGGAGTGGGAAAAAGTGAAGCCAATCAGAGATCTCCTTATCAAATAAAATGAGCAGGTTTGTCTTGAAAGGAGAGTGACTACTTATGATGAGCATATATAGGCCCTTGTTGAAAATAGTGGGGAGATGAGAGGATTTAGGATCTTATGTTTTCCACCACACCAACCTCGGTAAATGACCACAGACACAAGTCTATGCCTCCTTGTAGATACTATAGAGGGAGAGTCCCTCGGAGCGGTCGTAGCCATATGAGAAGCATCGCAATAGCGATGCGTGAGAAGCATTTGGTGAAATGGGTGCAAAGGATGCTGTAGGAAAAATTTGGGATAGAAAGAGCGAGGCTGATAACTATCTGGCATGAGAAATAGAGCAAAGATTAATTAAATGTGAGCCAAATTGGAATCGTAAGGTTGCCATCGAAGGCTTCAAGGTAGGATATGACATTTGTGCCTACACCAAAGGGAAAATGCCCTTCAACAAAAGCAAGCACCATGGGAAGAAAACTAGTAAATTGGTGTACATGAATATAACTAGCACAACGAGGTGCAAGATGCATAAAGTGCACATTAAGCACATGATGTGGTGCCAAGCTCTTAGGTTGATGGTTTCTTCTCTCTTCATCCCGTGTTGTTGTGCCGCAACTATAGTGTCACAATGCAATAACCACATTGCTGCGATGCTGAGTGAAGCTCCATGAAGTTGCTTGTAATTTTCACTTTTTTTTAGGTCTTTTGTCCTGTTTCATTCTTGCCACAAAATATAAACAAATATCACATAAAATTGTAAAATGGTACAAAATGTATAAAAAATGCACATATGTTTTAGGTGTTTAACACTATATAAGTAAATGGTTAGGCCTAAATATTTGGGGCAACTTTTGGCTAACTCTTTACATATTTTGTTGGGAAGCATGCTCATAATGGAGTACTATAGGCATGACTATCCTTATGGTAAGTTGCTTCTTGAAAGCTAAAGTCATGGGCTTTTGTATACTATGATATCTTGTATAGCTTGATTTGGGTTTTTACACATCATATTTCAATGCATTTACTTACCTATCATTGATGGAGTACTATAGGCATGAGTATCCTTATGGAGTACTATAGGCATGAGTATCATTATGGTAAGTTGCTTCTTGAAAGCTAAAGTCATGGGCTTTTGTATACTATGATATGTTGTATAGTTTGATTTGGGTATTTACACATCATATTTCAATGCATTTACTTACCTATCATTGATGGGTTAAAAACAAAATCTTTTTGGAGAAAAGTAAATCTTGAAAATTAAATGTAGTTTTTCATTAACTTGCAATGGTTCTTTTTGAGGGAATAGTGTAAGATATGCCGGGTAAAATTTATGTATCAACTTTTCTACAAAATAGAGAGAAAAGGAACTCCCTTGCCTTCTTTTGTTGAATATTATAATATTCATAATTGTGAGGAGATTTTATTCTTATTCAGTTGGTGGGTAATAATAACTTTATAAGCATGTGCTACCAGTTATCTAAATATTTTAGTAAAACATTGCAAGATTTTTCTAAATTTTTATTTTAATATGCATACTATTTTTTTAAATATTTCAATCATTATTTTTTTTTTTAAAGATGATTATAGTTTATATTTATGCAGGGATATTTTGCAAAGGGAATTTTTTTTAGCGTTCATGCAGTGAACTAATTATTTATATGCTTTTGGCTTTTTGTTTTACATTCCTGATGTTTTCTAAGATTTATGTTTGTTTTCGAATTAATTTCAACACATTCTTTAATTCCAAAAGATCCTTGGATAAACTGCACTCTTAATATATTTGTTTATTGTTGGGCAACTTGAAATTTTACTATTTTACTTTTACACACTTTCTGGTTTTTTATTTTTCATTCCTATTGTTTTCTCAGATTTATGTTAGTTTTCTAATTTATTTCAACACATTCTTAATTCCAAAAGGTCCATGGATAAACTACCCTGTTAATGTCTTTATTTTTTGTTGGGCGTCTTGAAATTTAATTTTCTACTTTTACACACTTTTATAATTTGACAATTATGTTAAGAATTAATAAGGCCGTTGTGAATTAAATTTGTTATCAAAGGCACATAGTTCCTTTGATATTTTTGTGTCGGCCTTTATAAACATTTGTCATTCTACTGGATATGCCCCTCATCTGCTCTCCTTATCACTTTTGAAGTGTAGTGGGAAAAGGGAGTTTTTAGTGTATATTATTGACTTGTAAGAGGGCTTATAAACATGCATATGTGAGGATAAAATAAGAAGTAAATTATCAGGAACAATACCCCTAATTATGATGATATCTTTCTGTAATAATCCACCTGATATATTAATATTGCTAAATATAGCTAAATACACCAATGTTTCTCCTCAAGAGGGAGCATGTATCTATCTATCTATCTATATATATATAGACACACACACACACACACACACACACACACACACACACACACACACACACACACACACACACACACACACACACACACACACACACACACACACACACACACACACACACACACACACACACACACACACACACACAGACATACATACTATAAATGAGGAAAATATAGATGTCCTAGAATCTTAGTGAAGATATATGCTACTTTTTCTGAACTGGAGATATAAGGAGTAACAATTTTATGGAAAGCATAGCATCTTGTTATTTATTTCATTATTTTTAGTTCATTCATGAAAGATTAAACTGCTGGTACTATAGATATTAATACGATTGTTACAATATAGAGTGATATGTTGAATAATGGGAAAATAAATTTTGCTAAAAGAGTTTTATCCCAGCTCATTTTGCATGCAAAATCAGCTATAGCTTTTTATTTAGTTTCAACACTCTTTGGCCACAAAAGTGTTTTTTTTTTTTGCTTCTCTTGATGGCCGTATTGAAAGATATAAGACTGAGGTTGATTTTTTTCATTCAATATACCAACATAACATAGAATGCTTCAATGTTTATATGCTCAGATTAATATATAAATGATCTTTTCTAGGGACATATATATATAAGTTAATGATTCATTAACAACAGTTTTAATACCATTTATTTGAATTTGGCATATACCTGCTTACCACTCCAATGGAGAATGAAATTTTAGGTTTAGTAAGACTTTATCAACTAACCTTCAATATTGAGATGATTTATAAACGGAACATCATTATCTAATGTCATTCGAGTCTCTATGAGGACTTCAACAAGTTCACCAACCAAGGAGGCTTTTTTCCTCGGGAAGGTTAGGCATGCAATTATTTTGAGAAAGAGATATACCCTTTTTGCAATATGCAAATTCAAATCCTGGTAATTGGGTTATTCTAGATATTTGGTGATAAAATACACTTGCAAATAGTTTTTTACTTTAGAAATATCATGTTTGTCACTCCAAGTAAGATGTCAACATAAACCGCTAGTATGATAAATCTTGTTATATATAGTTCTTCCCCTAAGCAACATACCTTGGAGGTTGCTCCTTGTAGACAAATTCATTTAGGCCCCCATATCGTAAGATATTCACATCCATTTGCATGTAAACCACTTGGCCTAGTGATCAAGAACTTTGTGTCTGACAATTAGATCTTCAGTTCAAGGCTTAGCACATATAGTGCGTGCGTGATTTAAAATAAAAAAATGATTGTCATCCATTTGTTGTATGATACCAACTTTGATTGATGGCCACAAATAAAATGATTGGCAACCAACCGAGCCTATTAGAGATTAATCAATCTATCAAGCCAAATTTTGGTAATGAACACCCACTGACATGCTATTAGTTTGACCCTAAAGGATGGCAATCGGATCCTGGCTTTGACTGGGCCGAGCATCCATTTCACTATCAATAACATTATTTTTATGAAAGATCCTACGACATGTCTTAATGTTTTAAGATTATTAGGCGTGCAAGATAAAGAGAATGCAATGGTACCAAATGAAGTAGATAGCTAATAAAAAAGGTGGGAAAAGATGAGTATTATGTTGCCTTTTGGCTTTCAGATAGGCTTTCAGATAGGCAATTTGGTGGATTCTCAGCTGAATCTGCCATTTTCTAGAGGCATACCTATAGAGAGGACTTGAAAGATGAGAGTATATCCATAAATGCGTAGAGTTAGGATGAGTAACAAATGATTATTAGGTTTAAGCGTGACAGGAGAAAACATGAAAGTAAGCCTTTAAAGTTTACATAGACTAAAGTATATTGTCGTTGTGTAAGTGGCTCCTAATACTAAACTTTTATGTGTGTGAGGGTACCCTTAGTTGATGGCTGAATTGCATTGGGAGAGCGCCTGGCGTGTGAAATGCATTGTAAAATAGATTCAATCTATAAGACCTATAGCGTAAAAGAAAAATAGTTTGATCGTGATAAAAAGTGTATGTGTGAGGTGTGATTTAGAATTAGACCGATAAAAAATGACTGTTAGAACATTCTCTGAAAGTAATGAAAATTTTCATGTAAATCATTATTGCCTTTGTTAACATAAAGGATGTGATGATTCTTGTGTTTAATAATACACACTCTATTGAGAGATAGAGAGTCAGGGAGTCAAACAAATAATACTATTAGCTGAGTAGGTGTGAAGTTGAAATTGTATAAATTCTAAAGGATTAAAGTGCCAAAATAGTCCTCTTACTATTTACATTGAGTCATTTTATTTCCAGAGTTTGTAAAAGTGCCAAATTAGTTTCCAGAATTTATAATAGGGCGTTGAGATAATCTCCAGGGGGACTATTTCAGCCCCTATTAAAATATTCTGGGACTAAGTTGACACTTTTATATATTCTAGGACTAAAATAATCCCCAATAAAAAAGTCAGAGGACCATTTTGACACTTTTCTCATATCCGAAGTATCATCTGCACTTAATATCTCTATTAAAATGAAAAATTGAATTATCTATCCATGCAAAAAAATAAAATTGAAATACATGAAGAACTTCATCCTTCATTGCACAATTTGAGTAATTAAATCCGTAAAAAAATCATCAATTAAAGTGTCAAATAACGACAGCCAATGTGTGTATTAATTAGCTGAGGATCTGAATTGTTCAATTGAATTTACTTAAAAAGACTTCCAACTATTAGTGGTAAAGGATAAATATGATACATGTTGGCAATTACCTGACACATCCATGCTATGTTGGGAGGAGGATCGCCTAAAGCACAACATTAATAACGAGTATTAGAGTAATTGTGGAAGATAAAGCCAAAATGAACATCAGTTGTCATGTATTAGACCCCATTGATTTTAACATGTCTAACAATCAACTTCTTTGAGCTGAGATCTTGAGAAATATAATGTTAGTGAAAAAAGTTTATTGAAAAACTATGGAATTTGTTAAAACAATGAATATGTCATAATTTACAGGTGGGACAAAACATTGGAGTGGGATATATTTTTCGAAGGTGTTACTAAGGCTTTTTTTAGGGACTGGAAAAAGTAACAATCAAGACACAATCGCACGAGGAAAGATATCATATGGACAAAGGAGGAAAATTTGCGATTATCTAATATGTTGGAATAGGCTTCTAGATGTAAATCTTGAGTCACAATTGCAATAGATCTAAATATCTTGAGTAGTTGCAAAGGCTTGAGAGTTCTAGATCAAGCTATTATATTCTTCATGATAAAAGCGTGATGTTTTCTGAAGGGACAATTGTTGTGGAGGAAACATTTCTTAGAATAGATATTCCATGGGCTTGTTAGGTGGTAAGCGGATGGCCATTTTTTGGCCCAGCATTGTTCATAAGGTTGATTGGTGTATCCGCAATGAGAGAAAGGAAAATACTCCCTTGCATGATCATGCTCAATATTGGTATAACCTCAATGTCCACCGTGGTATTTGGTTCCCAGGGTAGTTTGATAAGATGGTGGAGAAGGAGATGATAATTTGACGACTAGAAGAATACAATAGAGACTAATTGTAAAATTTTGTAAATGTAGAATTGATAGCTGAGATTGCACATGTTATAAACCAAACATAAATTTGGCAATATGAAATTTTTTTCTATATTGTTTGTATACCTTCGGATTATATACTTTCGGATAAGTTGTAAAAGGATTGTAGTTAACTAATTCTACGCTCATTTTCTGATGTTGCTATAGTAATCTGGGATGGATTGATCTTGCACTTATAGAGAAATAGTTCAGAGTATATGCTATATTTCACGAAGATATTACTTTCTTGGAAATAAATATAATAGAGAAAATTTTACATTGCCTTGGCAGTCTCATGGAACGTGACTCTGAATGCAAAACAACGTTTGAGATTATTCAATAACCAAGTGAACAACATATTTTTGGCTTGTCATTTAAAGAACTTGATGGTGTCATCAGCAGCTAGAGGAGATACGTAGAGTTTGTTGTGAGTAGCTATTAGAAAACAAAAGGATATGACATATTAAATTTTTTTGTTGTATCAAAGTCTGAAGAAGGCTTCAATTCCTTGAGAGAGGGAGCTGCCATGACACCGTCGAGAGAGGGAATTGGAGAATTTGAAAGTCAATTTAAATCATGATGAAATGAGTGATAAGTGAATTAGGTGGTAAAGTAACCAGGGTTGTTGTTTTCGGTCTTACATGCATTTGAAGTTAATAAGGCGGAATAAGAACTAGTCAGGTAGTAGTGCGAGTGAGGAGGCATGATTGAGCTAGCCTTGCGAGCATGTATTTTGCTTGAAATGCGCAGACGGTGGTATTGGTGGGATGATGACATGCACCGGTGAGTGTTAAGCTCCTGACATAGTTACTCTTGTGCAAGAACGCATGGAAATTGCACAGGCATGGGCTAGTGGAATACCGCCATGTGTGGAATTGTGAGAGAGAACCACCGTGCGCCTATTTTGCAAACTTGAAATGTAGAGAGAAGAAATGGACCCTAAGTAATAAACCAATACTAATAAATCCACCTAAATGCATTAGTATAAAGCATACAAATTTACAGTTGACATCTAATGCAATTGGTATCTGAATTTTGATTTTTTTTTAGTAGCTAAAGAAGAATCTACAAAAGTTGGCTAGAAGTAAAAGTACTTATATAGGGAACTATGAACACCAAAGGCTCCATGCACATTCAGTAATTCTTAGCTAATGTTTAACAATTTTTTTATTGAGGGGCCATTACATGCATACAACAATTCATATGTATTTACATATCTAACAGCTTGACATTAATATCCACATTCATGACTCTCAAATATTTAACATAATATCAAAAATACCATTTTACTAACTTTTAAAAAGTCAAATGCTCCTTTTTATACACATGTTCAGCATTGTGTGGTATTTATGTAAATTTCCCTTTTACTTAATGTGATTGGAACTTATAATTAAGTTTCATGGTCATGTTCATCGTTTATCCTATAATCTCATTCATTCCACTTTTGGCATCAAGATCATAGGTCTTCAGAATTTGATCCAAAGGAACGAACAATTGCATGGCTCAGGCAATGCTCCTTCAGGTGGAGTCGCTCTACCTTTTATCCTTGTTCAGGTAAAGCAATTTTCTGTTTATTTTACCATATGGTTTGCGTCATAATATGTATTGCAATAATATTTTATGCTAAATCAGAAAATTTAGATCCCTTCCTAAGACATAATAAGAAAGTTCGCGCTTCTGTTCCTAAATTTAGTGTTTCAGTTATCAACAAAGGATACTGATAAATAAATACTCTTCAACTGCTCATGGCTTAATTTCTGATGATCCTTATTTCTTTTTTGAGCCATTTACATTCGTAGCACACAACTCTAATTTATTTACATCCCACTCCTAAACTTTTATATTCACATACATAACACTCAAATCTTTAATATCACATTAAAAATAGACTATTACCACTTTTTAAAGCTGAAATACAACTTTTCATGCATTGGTTTAAAGCACCAAAGTACTTTGTATGTAAATAAGAAAGTTTAGGTGTGAGATTTGTAAATACATAAGAATTGTGAGCTAGGTATGATTGCAAATGATAGCCAAGTATTTCTTTTGGCATTGCAACTGCATGTTGAATCTATTTAACAAAAATGATTACTTTGGTGATGTGAATTCTTATGGACTAAAATAGTAGCCTAGTTCTTTTCATCTTTACTATTTTTTTCATAAAAATATTGCAATAATGATTTCGTGGCTTTGATTTTACTAATTTTTTTCTTTTGTTCTTTGTAATGGAACAGACTCGGCCCCATGCAACTGTCGAGGTAGAAATATCTGAAGACATGCAACTGGTGCATTTTGACTTTAATAGGTGATTGGAAAAACTCTATTTAAACTTTATGTTGTTGGGAATTATGCACACAAATTTAAGCATACCATTTACTATTTTTTGGTTATTTGATCAGTCTTAAATATCATGTTATGCAATATATCAAATTTCAAAACCCATTTGATATTGTACTATTTTGATCAAATTTTATCACTTTTGAATAGGGAATTTCATCTAAGATTCCATCCTTCCAAAACCCAAAGCCTGATACCTAAATCTTGTAGGTGAAAGCCAAGGGATCTTTAGAAAAAGAAATTTAATAAAAGTTTTAAATGCATACCACTCTATTTTTATATACATATCTAAAACTCAAACTTCAATTTTTACATTTATATGCTACCTTACCTATGCATAAAAAGATAAATTCTGTTTTTAATAATTAAATGGTAGTAATTTTGATATGATATGAAATATTTGGGCGGCATAAATGTAAACAAAAAATTAATTAGCTTTTCGATATATAAATACATAGGAATTGGGTGGTATGTATGTAAATGCTACTATCATATTTAAGAAAGATTATAAAAAGATATGCCAAGGGCGGTGATAATGGAGTAACCCATAAACGTCGTCGATGTAGACCTCCATAAATTTCCTAATGTGAGTCTGGAATACCTGATTCATCAGTCTCATAAAAGTGTTGGGTGCGCTTGACAAGTCGAATGTCATAATTGTCTACTTGTATAAATCATCTCATGTCTTGAATGCGGGTTTCCACTTATCTCTTGGACTTATCCTGATCTGGTGATATCCATTGTATAAGTTGATCTTGGAAAAGATGGTGGCTCCGTGTAATAGCTCCAAGAGATCATTCGGGCGAGGTATGAGAAAGTATTACTCGATAATAATCTTGTTGATGACCATGCTGTCAAGGCACATCGACCATGAATCACCCTTCTTGTGTACCATTAGGGCGGGGCCATCACACAGACTGGTACTCTCTTTGACCAACCTTCTCGTGCGAGATCTTGCACTTGTCGTTGCAACTCCTTGTACTCTGCAGGTTTCAATATGTAGGCGGGCTGATTCGACAACGCTGATGTTGGTATGACATCTATGATATGTCCAAAGTCCTTTAGTAACGACACTCTCTCTGGAAAATTTTGATCATAATATCCTAGAAGCTTTAGAGTCTGTTTGACGCAGCTGTTGATTATTTCTAATCTGCTGATAAACAGATTATTATGATAATATGATAATCTGTAGATTATCAGAATAATCTGGCTTGCTGTTTGGGGTAGCTTATTCATATTAGCTTCTTGGTTGTTAAACGACATTCCTGCCCCTGTCTGATAAAACTGTTTAGGACAACTTAATCAGAATAACTTATTGGTAGTACAAAAGCATATCGTGCAGAAGTATACAATCATCACAGATCAGTTCTAAAAGATGACATACATTTGTAGACTTCTCTGACATAAGTAGAAGTTCATATTACTGCAACAAATACATATACAATGAATCAAAAAGTATCATTCATCGACCAAAACCCTCAAATGTACGAGACGCAATTCAGGCTCTAGCGCCATGAATATTTTCATTTGAGTTGAATCTTTAAGTTTTTTCACACACTGTGCGTGAAATCGCTTGTCGGCCACAACTTCAGGAATATAACCCAGAAGCCTGGATAGTCTAATACGTTAGAATCAGAGACTGGTGGAGCTGCGAAAGCTTCAATTAAACGATTGAAGGAGATATTTACAAAATGTTCATTCTCTTTATTTTTCTTAGCAATTCTTGGCCTCTTTAAAATTGTACTGGACTCCCCCATATCTCTCTGGTTAATGCTAGACACTTTTTCATCGGGTGTCAATGACTCAGGTGTGATTTTTTCTGGTATCCCTATAAAATCGCTTTCAGTAGGGTTGAATGAAAACTTTCCCGGCGACAACTCATTTAAACATTACGTCCAATTTTTTTTCAAATTTCGGCTCAATTCCGCACTGTTTATACTTTTTTGCTGCCGGTACTGCCTGTGATTTAGCATTTAGAGGGAAATTATAATTAGAGAAAACAATTTGCGAAGCTAACAATTCATGGATTAGATAGAAAATTATCTCTAATTTTTCGGCCCACCATTCAGTTGGAGCATCAATTGTTCTTTTAATCGCATCCCAACCCAGACCGGTAGATCTACGTTTCAACTCCTTCCATATTTTCCATTCCTTCTTCAATTGGTTCCATTTGTTTTTAAATTTATGCCGGTCGTAATCCCTGCCAGTCAATTCTTTGAATTTCTTAGCAATGTTTTGCCACTCTTCCTTATTAAAATACGTTGTTGGTCTGTTCCCTAGTTCTATTTCTTTAATACACATATCGCAAAAAATATTTGTTATTTTTTTATCACACATTGCGAACGGACCCCTTTCAACCACTTAAGACATGATGTAACTATAGGCAACAAGTGACAATAAAAACTTTTTAAGTTTGAATTTCAGTAGAATTGTTGAAGAAATAATTGCACCAGCACATTCACAGTGCTCATCATTTTGAATCTCAGGCCAACAACAACTCAAGCCAACAACAACAACAGTCTCCAAATAATCACATTAACTCAACTTTCAAAGGATTTGCCACCAAAACAAACAACAGTTTAGCTATTTGCTCAGAAAAAAAAAAAAAAAAAATGAATGACCTACATCCACAGTAAGACATTGAAAATATTGTATTATGCAATTGTATACTGTTGCATAACTATAAAAGGAGAACAATACAACTCTCATTTCTTCCTTTAATGATAATAAAAATTTCTCAACTAACAAATAAAAATCGAACATGTTTTCATTCTTCATCTCTTTTAATATTTGCTAAAAACCGAACGGCATATCACTCTTTTCTGATCCTGCATTTGAACAATATACCAAAAGCAGACATAAGAACCCATAAATCCTTTCTCAGTTCGCGTTTGAACAATACGGAAAATCCTTAAAGCAGGCATAAGAACACATAAAACAGACATTTGAACGTATATAGCAGGCCTAAGAACCCATAAAGCAGGCATTTGAACAAATCAAAAAATCCATTCTTAGTTCGCAGGTTTGCTAAGAACCAATACAGCTTCCAATTATTGGTGAAAGCCTTTAGCACCAATTTAATACCTCTCGATATAGGCATCAAAGTTATAATTGATCCCAAAAAAATTCAATTGCAGAAAACACGATTTTGAGTGAAGGTGAATCAAACTGAATATGAAAATACCATTCTTGCATCTAATAATATGAAAAACAAAACCTCGCATATGGATATGAACCCTAAACCAAAAACAGGTAACTCCACAATGATATAACCATTGCCTCATATAAAAACAAACATTGCATTATCTTGTATAAGCATATGCATATGAACTTTAAACCCAATAAACATTGCCATTCTTAGCATAAAACACAAGATAAAAGTATGGAATCCTCTCAACGACGAGTTAGATATATGTTTGAAACATTAAAATTACACGCTAGTATGCTTTCATAGAAGAACAGACAATTTCGTAATGTATTTTCATGAACCAAGCCATAATCTTCATTGTACAACCAAATCAACAATTGGTTATTTCAAATTACTGTATAACAGAAATTCCTACAAATTTTTCACTACACAAACAACAACTAAACAATTATATAACTTCATCAATTTACTTAGGACCGGAGCCTATACCTCCCATCAAACAAACAGAGTCAAAATCAGAAAAAATGCCACAATATCATGCCACTAAACAGATGCCCAAAACCAGAGCCGCTACCTCCCATCAAACAACGAATGCCACATATCTCAATTGGCCTATAGCATAAAAACTTTCATGGACTCATATTTCAGACACAATTAAAAAAAAAAACGGTTCTTGTATCTACACATCTCAGAAAAAGGATCAGCGAAAAGGAAGGTTTCCAAGATCACAGTTAGCAACCCAAATCCAACAACCAGTTAAAATGCCAAAATATCGGGGCATAGAAAATGAAACATATCTCAACAGACTTAAAACCCAAAAATCAGAGAAATTGTCAGAAGCCACAGGTACCTCAAAATAACTAATGCCATAGATCTAAACTGGGCAATACCTAAAAACCCTTTATGTCATCATATTTCTCCTGAAAAAAATAAAAATCTCATTTCCCGCATCAACACTGCTCAGAAAGAAGATCAGAGTAAAGAAAACATTCCAATGCTCGCAGTTAGGGTAATCGAAAGGATACCTGATGATCAGGAAAAAAAAATGGAAAGGAAGAAGGTTCGATCTCCTCTAGGGCAACGAACCAGAAAGGAAACCAGCGAGGGAGGAGGCAAGGGAGATCGAAGGGCACCTCCGGAATTCCTAGGGCAACGCGGATGGATAATGCAGGACGCGGAGCTCGGACAGCGTCGAACGACATAAAGGAATTAACCAACGCAGACGCAGTACGGGAGGCTAATGCCGGTGCGAACGCAATTAACAAACATGGAGGCGGCGTTTTCAAAACACCGCCGCTCCCAATAAGCTGCCCCAAACGGGGCCTTAGAGTAGTGGTTGTAGTGGTGTTGCCACCTCACTTTCCTCTGTTCCCGCTAGTAGGACTAATGCCGATGCCATTGGAGCATCCCGATTTGATTGCATGAAGGTGGCCCTTTGGACTAACACATCTTTTGTCGCCTACATCTCTCGCATCTTTAACGAGTAACAACACAAAGTGTTTCCATCCTTTTTAAAAGAGTACATATTCTTGAAGCCATCTGGCGGAGTTTTGTTGTCGAATTGCCAAGGTCTCCCAAATAGAATATGTCATGCGTCCATTCGAACCACATTAGACCACACTTGTTTCTACAACTGTTCCTCAATTGAAAATTTGATCAAGCATTGTTGATCCACACATATCTCATTTCCCTATTTCAACCAGGTGAGAGTATAGGATTGGGGATGCTTCTGCATGGCGAATCCCAATTTCTTCACCATTAGCATGAACACACCACATTTTTGCAACTTCTACTGTTAATGATCAAACTGCAAAATTTGC